CTCACTCCCCGGAGCACGAGGAAGCCTGGGGGCTCCGGGCCGGGGGCGGCGGCGCGGGGACGCCGACGGGGCTGCCCGCGCGTCAGTGCGCTCCCGGACCCGCTCCGGGTGCCCCGCGCCTCCACGGAGCCGGGCTAGAGAAGGGAAAATCGGTAACAGTATGCGAAATATCTGGTACAAAGGATGCTTCTGTCACTCGCAAGAATTTGTTATGGGAACAATCCTGTCGCTCTGTAATTGCTCATTAGAGAACGTTTTGTTTCTCATTAAGGCGACATGAATAAGCGTCTAGTTGAAGGAGACAGCTGTAGAAATGTTCCACAAGAGACCTCTGGACACGATTCGGCACCAATTGCCAATTAGACATGTCAGTTTTAGGAGCAGAAAACAATATAGGACGGACACTGGGAAGATAGGGAGCAAAGCGCTCGCTCAGTGTTTCCCAGCGCCGCCGCTGGGCCGGCGGAGGCCTCCTGATGCGCTGGGCCCGGCCTCCCCTGGGCGACCCCGCGGGCCCTCTCGTCGGATCCGGCCCCGACCCCGCGGCCTCCCGGGGTGCGGCGGGCACACCCGAGGAGGCGCTGCCTCCGCTCCGGCCGCAGGCCCAGGCCCACTGCCGCCTGGGATGACAGGGAGTGACAGGGCTGAGTGTAGACCACCACACCCTCACCTGACCTCTGAAACTATTGGAGTCCCACGTGCGCACACTGGACACACCCAAGAGACACCCGAACTTGGCACTCCCCAGCGCCCGCCCCCCAACCCCCAGCAAACCGGAGGTCCTTGTGATCCCTCCCCCGCCGAGGCTGGCCGCCAGGGTCCGAGAACTCTTGGGGAGGGCGCGGGGCGCGGTGGCCGGGTCTGGGAGGGCTGAGCCCAGAGCCTCCACCCCCTCGGTGCCAGGGCTCACGTTAGCTTGGGGCCTAGAGGACGTCCACCCTCCTGCTTCCCAGAGCCCGGACACAAGCCCAGGGCAGCAGTTTTGCCAGCCCCTCTGTTTCCACCAGAGGCGGCGCCCGATTAGGGCAGCTTTCCGTCCTGGGAAGCTGGAGGGCGGGAAGCGAGAGCCTCACGCAAGGACCCCGTGGTGATGGTTGCGGCGGGAGGTGGCGCTAATTCAGGAGCTTTTAACTTTTAGGCGCCCAGTAGCTGGAGAATTCTGACTCACCAACTGCCAATTGCCCCTCCGCCCCCTTAAGAAACCCACTCGGATGCGGCGACCGCGGGCGCCAACCGCCGCCCCCGCGGCGGGGGCAGGACGCGCCGGGCCACCCGGGCGGGGTCCCGGGCGTGTGGGGCGCGGGGAGCTGGTGGCGGGCTTCGGCCGACGCGCCCCGGGAATCCTCAGACCTGTCGGTGCTAAGAAGGCCCCGCTCCCTCCTTCGCCCCCTCTCCCGGCCCAGGAAGCCGTTTTAGGGTTTTAAAGAGTCCATTACTCCGAAAGCATAAGGCGAGGTTAGGTCTCAGAGGGAGACAAATATGGTTTCCATCTGATCAACGCCATGCGGCGGTGAATAAAATCGTGACGACGTGGGCTGACAACAACAAGAGACAACTCTATCCAGCCCCAATTCTCCAGCGATTTGGTGGTTTTAGGGATCACGGAGACACTTTTTCTTATCTCCTCCCCCCCACCCCCACCCCCATAATACCCAGGCCCTCTATAGGATTTAGTCAGTCTCTTTTCAACAGATGCTACAATGTTTTGATCCGCGCTCCAGAGCTGAAGAGGTGCCGCAAGCGGGTTGCTATCTTTTCTTGCTTGTTTTCCGCCTCACTGATTAAGACACTAAGAAACTAAGGAATGATTTTATTTCCCAGCGTCTTTTTTTTTTTTTTTTTTCTCCTCTCCTTCTTCCAGGAAACAAATCCTATCCCCAGCGTCAGATGGTCCTGGGGCTGGGATAATGGGAGGCGCTTTCACTCGCCTTCTCACGGATTAGGCTGGAAGGTGGACGGCGCCCATTGAAGGCCCCTTCTTTGCGCGCTCCGAGGGGGCGCCTTTTAAAGAAGATATCTTAATTGTCTGCCACTTAGGTTTATCATTTGGAGAATTTGAGATCCAACTTTTAGTTTTATTTTTGTTAAAAGCTTTAAGAGTGGAAGGTAAATCCACTAAAGGGGAGAAGAAAGGGGGCGCCCAATCTAAGAGTGACCTCTCCTTCAGCGCCTGGCTGTGAACAGTTGTTACTTTGAAAGTAGCGAACAAACTTCCAGCGGGGCACGCCCGCTCTGCGAGGTCGTGGAGGGATCCTGCCGCCCCGGGTTTCTCCTGACCGGCCTCTAATTCCGCCCCCCCCCCCGCCTCCCCAAAGGGCTCTCTATCCCCATTGACTTCCCCTACCCCTTAAATGTCAGTTCCAAAGTGAGAGCCACGCCTGCGTTTGTGTGTAGAGACAGCGAGACAGAGAGAGATGGGGGGGAGGAGGTGGGAGGAGAGCGTGCAAATCTCCAAGTTTTAAAATTAGGAAAATGTCAGAGAAGCAAACGAGAGTAGAGAATGCTATCTGCGGGGGTCTTCTGAGGGAAACCTGGGCAGCTTTATCTAATTGGTGAGATCAAATATGCTAGAAAAAGGACTGGGGCGGGCATGAGTGACCTGGCAGGCACAGTCCCCACTCCCGCGAGATAGGATTGCGTTCTCCTCAACGCCCCAGTCCCTAAACGTCGGCTGGTCGGAGATTTTTGTGTTTTCCAAAAGGAATAACCCACAGGCCTAGTTTCTAGTTAACTGGCCAAAAAGGTCTATTTCTAAAGTCTTCCCCGTTCACTGAATCTGAAAATGGCGGGGGGGGGGGGAACTCTTCTTTTTACTTTGGAAAGTCACCTGGAAACTTGGCGCAGTAAATTAGTACAGACACTTGTGCCCACACACGTGAGTCCAGCGTCTCCCTCAGCTAAGCAGCCCTCCCCAGACCCCCTACCTCTCTGAAGTAGCGCAAGAAGACCCAGAGTAGAGCCGGTCTATTTAGTGACTGTCTCTCCCTTGTCTTCCTTTTCTCCTTTCTCTCCGTCTCCTTAGACCCTCTTGCCTCTTTTCCCCCTCAGCACTTTTTTCTGTCCTTCTTATACCTTTCTGGTCTCTGTCTCTTTGAAGCCTTCTTTCTTCCTCCATCTTTTTCCGCCCCCTCCTGCCTCCCCTCCAACCCGCCCCCTCGGCCCCATCCTCCCTCCTGTCTGGCTCCTCCACCCCAGACCTGGTCTCCATCCTCCCTGCCTTCCCCATCCGCCCCTCCCACACAAGCCCGCCTGGTCCCCATCCACTTTCCCTGCCTCCCCCCACCCCCTGCTCTGGCCCCCCATCCACCCTCCATCCTCCCAGCCAAGCGCCCTAAATAGCATTGAGGCGCCCGCTCTTCGGACAGTGATTAATGATAGCAGAGCAGAGGGGTTAACACACTTCACTGAAAAGTCTGTTGACTGGGCTTCTTGTAACACAATGTGGCCCGCTGCACGCCTCAAGAGAATCCTTTTGTTGTCCGCGCTCATTGTGGCCTCAAAATTCTGCCCACGAAAGTTTGCCAACGCTCCTGCCCCAGGAGTTTAATAGTTTCCCTTACTCGCGGGGCATTGTGCGGCGCTGAAAAGCAGCCCCTCGCTATTCAAGTGTTGGTGGTCATCTCAATAGATCTCCAAGGGCCCATATGGTGGCCAGTGCCGATGAATCCGCCTGTTTAAATGGGGGAGAAAGTTGGGGTTTTAAAACATTTCAAAGTTCCTGAAAAGATCCCACTAGATCTTGTCACAATTCCCTGAACTCTTTGAAGGCGCTGCCTATTGTCTCCTGGTTATAAATGATATTCCTGGCCAAGTCGATTCCCACCAAGACACCCCTCCCCCCGCCAACTGGCCAAATTTCTAGGATTGGGGGGGCAGCCCCTTTTGGTATCCCTTGGGAGCCTCAGGACCTAAGACCCAGGACCCAGTTTGCAGTGGCCCTGGAGGCCCGGTGAGGGCTGAGTCCTCCCTTCAGACAGGCTGTGGCCTCAGGAGCAAGAGGTAAGGCAAGATGTAGCTAGCCCAAGTGTACATCTTGCCCTCCAAGCAGCAAGGGAAAACAATAAAACTTTCCCCTGTTTAATGATAGAAATTACATTAAAAGTGGTGGAAATGCCCTAATTAAAAATGTACCACTTAAATGATATGCCAAGGACTCAGCTGCAGCATAGCATATTTAGCTAGTTAGTGAACTCTCTACTATTTCTTTTTTAAAATTACACGTTAAAAATTTAAAAGAAATCTTACTTTTCTCTGGTGCAACACATTACAAAGAATGGACAGTCCTTTTATCTAAATATAAAATTCCATTTTCAGCAATTATAGCCTGTTCTTGGTGATGATATAATTACAGCTGTGCTCGTAATAGGTGTCAAGGCAAAGCGCACTCATACAATAGTTGAATAAAACTGCAGAACAATGCGAGCATTTCTAAATTCACAACCTTTAAAATGAAATTGACTGTGCAGAATTCAAATAAAAACTAGATAAATATTTTTTTAAAAAGATTACAAGCTTGGTTTGGTTTCTTAATAGCATTTTCTACAAACCTATCAACATCTAATTGATTAGATAGGAATTACTGATTATAGATCAGCTGAAATCTTGAACATCACTCTTCTATTTTCCCAACAGAGCTATAGGTAAATAAATTCTGTAGGGAAAGGGAACTGAGCGGGGCATTTGGGACTCAAGGTTAGTTATGAGACCATTTGAATTGGAAACTTCAGTGCTCGTTTTGTTCTTCAAAAACCTGTTACTCCGTAATGTCTATATTGTACAGTCTCTTCCTGACAAAAACAGATAAAAAGATAAAAACTTGATTTAAAAAAAAGAGAAAGAAAGGTAACGTATGTTGCTCATGTCTTTTATTAGGAGACACTTAGTGACCTAGGGAATGTCCTGGTGAGACCGTCAGAATGTTCTTGGAGTTTATGGCTCTACCCCAGCTCCAAGTTATTCCAGATTTTGGAGGCTCCAAGTTATTCCAGATTTCTCTTACTGTCCTATTCTTTTTGTTCCAGATGGCTGCCAGCAACAGGAAGGAGGGGGAGAGAATACCAACTCCATCAGTTCCAACGGAGAAGATTCAGATGAGGCCCAAATGCGACTTCAGCTGAAGCGGAAGCTGCAGAGAAATAGAACATCCTTTACCCAAGAGCAAATTGAGGCCCTGGAGAAAGGTGATGGAGTTTTTCAAAGTAGAGAAGCAGTAAATCAAACTAAATGCCCCATCTTCAGGACAAAGAGCTAAATTTAGCCAGGGCCCTTTGCATAGAGGACTGAAAAGGTTTCTTTTTTCTTTCTGCCCTTTTTTTTCCCCCCTGGGCATCTTTTCTGTGTGTGTGTGTTTTCTTTCTTCTTTTCTTGTACCCATAATTCAAAGGCTAAGAGTCTGACTTCTCATAAAGAAGAAAATGATGATTTGGCTAATTCAGGCCACAGAAGGGTCCTCGAATGAATGTCATTCCAAAGAAAATTTAACTTGGTTCTGGTGGGATAGCTCTTCCAAGTACAGTCAATCCCCGTGGTGGCAGCGTTTTTAAGGGAAGTGGTTGGAGGTGACAGAAATGGGGAGGTAGGAACCAGCTTGAGCCGGAGCTTGGTTGACACATTTTGTGTAGTTCTGGCACAACATGGAAAACTCAACTTCCTCTTTCAGAGTTTGAGAGAACCCATTATCCGGATGTGTTCGCCCGAGAAAGACTAGCAGCCAAAATCGATCTACCTGAAGCGAGAATACAGGTACCCAGGGGCCATGCGGTTTCATGCTTTGTGACGCCTGGCATTTGCCCTTTCTGGAGACCGAGGCGCTCCGAAGGAATATTCAGTCTGCTAAATGATTTGCTGCCCCCTGGGGGACAGGGCCTGGGGGTGGGGAGCAGTGGCAGCACCAGGGGGGAGGTGGAGCTGGGGGTAGGCACAGGCCTGACCTGGTCCATCTGATTTCCAGGTATGGTTTTCCAATCGGAGGGCCAAATGGAGAAGAGAAGAAAAGCTGAGGAACCAGAGAAGACAGGCCAGCAACACACCCAGTCACATCCCCATCAGCAGTAGCTTCAGCACCAGTGTCTACCAACCGATCCCACAACCCACCACGCCTGGTAATTGGAATATTCATAGTCCTCATAAATGCGCCGCACCTGTTGGCTCTGCCTCGCGGCCTGACTGACTGTGGTGTCCTTCTCCTGCAGTTTCCTCCTTCACCTCTGGCTCCATGCTGGGCCGGACAGACACGGCCCTCACAAACACGTACAGCGCTCTGCCCCCCATGCCCAGCTTCACCATGGCGAATAACCTGCCTATGCAAGTAAGTGAGGCCGCTGACGGCCCGCGCGGAATGGGTGCCTGCGAGAAGTAGTGAGGAGGGGGTCGGGGCCTGCAGACCTCCCCGGCCGCGCGCGCCCTGGGGAGCCTTGCTCTCTGCGGCGATAGGCTTCACCGGCCAAGTTTTAACAGTCAGTCCAGTCTTTTAGTCGGATCGATGGATTGATGGATTCATGCTCTGAAGAAAACATAAAAACCAAGTGAATCTGCCTTTTGCTCAGAGGGAATGTAGCTTGGTAACGTTGGGTGGGGATGGGGCATGTTTTGGGTACCAGAAAGTGGAAATAATGCTGGCACATTATTCGATAGTAAGGGGTTAGTATATGTAAATTTGGGTTTATAGTAATGTGTTCATATTAATGATCACATAACCTGTGTACGCATTTTGGGATATTATTTAGAGTATATGTGATGAACCCGTGAGGAAGGAAAAAAGGATCAGAAATAAGATTTCTATTTGCATAGTAGGATATACTTTAATATAGAGGAATGGTGAGTTTTCTTTCTATATCTTACAATAAAAAAAGGAATAGAGGTATTTGCTAAAAATTTAGCACGTCTCTGCCATGAATTACGTAATGAGTTTGTGGCATGCTAGCTGCCTGGATACGCTGATGGTCTTCACTTGGTATAACAACCTGCCTCTACTCTCAGTTCTGCTCTGAACGGTTATCAGCTCCTACATGTGCAAGGCCCTGTACTAGGCTACTAGCCCTTTCTGATGGAAGTTGCATAAGGCAGGTGGGGTGGACTACAGCTTTGGATCTGGATGGATTCTTTTTTTTTTTTTTTTTGGATGGATTCTTGATGGGGAAAAAAACTGGTCTTCTAGCAAGATGCCGGATGGCGTGAGACTGGCCAGCCTGAGCCCCGGCTGCAAACAGTGCTGGGGTTACACAGATTGTTTACTCACCCCTGAAGGTCTTTTGATGAATTTCAACTCCAAATAACAGCAAAATAAACGTTTCACAGTCTTCAGACTAAAATAGGAGCAGCTAGATAGGCAACTTCAGAGGAATTTATTCACATGCTGATTTTTATTGCATCTGGATATTAGTAGCCATAGTGCAATTAATGTATCTTAAGGGATTACCGGCCCATTGGTTGGTATTACTACAACTGCTGTGGAATTTTCCAGAAGTCAGGTTGCCTAGAGGAAATGATTTTGGGAATTAGAAACAAATGCAAGCTGAAATTCTGGCAGGGCCCTCAAGGCCTGCTTGCCTCTTTGAACCTGATGTTAGCAGTCATCCTCTGACTTTAATAAGGCCGCGGAATGTCTTGTTTAGTTTTGCAAATTACAGCAACATCTAGATTTCTGCCAAAATAACAAAATTTATATATGAGAAAATATTTAGAAGCAATTACATAGGTGCTACTATTCTATTAAGGTTGTTTCCACCTATAGACTGGTGTGGGGTCAATTTATTTCAAACACTAACTTTCAAGTTACACAATTTATACAAAACAAAACATACATACATTCATAAAGCATAAAGAAAATTAAAAAGTTATTAATAATTCTACTGTTCAGAGAAAATTTACCCTCTGAATTTTGGAGTTGGGGGGGCGGGTGTTGGTCTGTCTGTCCATCAGTTCATCTTGTTGACCAAAATCTTCAATGATTTTACAAAGGGTGGGTGTCTTCCGCTGAACCTTCTCTAGTGGGTCACCCTCTCTGAGAAGGTGACTCTTGAAATGTTAAACATTTCTGCAGTTTGTGGAACAGAGTAGTAGTACTATCATTTCCCTTATTCCTGGCATTATGTTTCTATTAATTCATCCCAATCTTGCTGCCCTGGAATAGGTCCATGTGAGCTCATGAGAGATTTTGTCTCAGCGCTGTGTATTTCTTATTCACTTAGGAGAAAGGTTTACCCCCTCAGTACCACCAGTCCAAACAGTTAGAGGGTGGAAACCCAATTTTATGGATAAAACCCAATCTGGGGGCGCCTGGGTGGCTCAGTTGGTTGGGCGACTGCCTTCGGCTCAGGTCATGATCCTGGAATCCTGGGATCGAGTCCCGCATCCGGCTCCCGGCTCAGTGGGGAGCCTGCTTCTCCCTCTCACCCTCTCCCCTCTTACGCTGTTTCTCTCTCTCTCTCAAATAAATAAATAAAATCTTTAAAAAAAAATTGGGTTTTTTAGATCTATAAGGAAGTCACAGCTAATTCTCAGGATGGGGCTAGATATTTACTGATACTTCTGATCATTTTAATCTGAGATCATTACTGATCTGCCTCTTCAAAGAATCTTTAAGCCCATGAGTCCAACCATGAAGGGCTCCCAGGGTCTCTGAAGCAGACTTTCTAGAGAACTCCTCACACAGGTCTCTGCCCAAAGCTTGAGATACAGGATTTGGGGGTCACTAGATTCCCAAATAGACTGGATTTGCAGAAGAGGCGGTGTTTTAATGGAAGTCCTCATGCCATAGCTTCTCTGAAGATGCCGGCAGAGGTCCAAGATAAAAATGGACAAAAACCCTACTAATTTTATGGATAGTGCCCACCATCTAGCTAGACAGTTGTCTGAATGCATAGTACTTTTAGGCAACTTTACTCTAGCAGTGGTCAGTGGAAGGCCTGGTTGGAGGCCTGATTGCCAAGCTATCCAATGGAATTCCAGTACTTTACACGAGGGCATCTTTAATGATCCGACTTGTCGGCACGGTTCCTGGGGAGGAGAGAGCCTGGGGATGTGGCTGTGGGATGTGCTGCTCGGTAACCACTGGTTTGCCTTTCTCCTCTCAGCCCCCAGTCCCCAGCCAGACCTCCTCGTACTCCTGCATGCTGCCCACCAGCCCTTCGGTGAACGGGCGGAGTTACGACACGTACACCCCCCCCCATATGCAGACACACATGAACAGTCAGCCGATGGGCACCTCGGGCACCACTTCCACAGGTGAGCCACTGTTCCCTGTAGGCTACACGGAGGTGGCCTTCACAGCTTCTCTTGCCAGGTGATCGCCCTTCACTCAAAGTGCACCTCAAAAGAACCTCCTGGCCTTGTGTCACGGTGTGTTTTAACTCTTCGCTGCTCGCTTCTCTGGGGAAAACTGATTGGAAGGGGGAAATTCAGTCAAGCGAGTTAGTAACCTGATACCATGTAGACAAAAAGCAAAGTTGTTTTTCCTGAATTTGGTCACAGAAGTTGTCTATGAAGACAAGGCCCGAGAATGTAAGTTTTCTGAAGAGAGGTTATTAGCCAGAGCTCAGTGGTGAGGGGGTGAGGGCCCGAGCGAGGGGGCAGCATGGTGAGTGTTGTCAGAAGACTTCTCACCCTCCCAACTCCTCCCTGCCTTTCACTGCAAATGAAGAAGTACCACGAGGGCTTTCCAGAGATAGTTGTATTGCTGAAGTTCCAAACATACAAACAAATGGAGGTTTGTTTTTTTTTTTCTCTTTTGTGTGGGAGGACTTGGGATTGAATAGATATGTATAAACATGTTCTCTGGTTTCTGAAGGTGCTACTTCTGTTTGTGTATTTTTAAAAATACAGTTAGAACATTAGAGAGTATTCGAGATTATTTTTTAACCTATAAATTCATACTCCGTGCTTGTCTCTCGAAGGGAATTTCTACATGGCTATTTCTTTCATCCACTTCTAGGACTCATTTCCCCTGGTGTGTCAGTTCCAGTTCAAGTTCCTGGAAGTGAACCTGATATGTCTCAGTATTGGCCAAGATTACAGTAAAAAAAAAAAAAAAAAAGGATATATTGTGTTAATTCAGTCAGTGACTATGTGGACACAACAGTTGGGCGTTCAGGAAGGAAAGAAAGATGGCTATTAGAAGCACTTCAGTTCTGCAATTGTGTCCTGTATTGTACCACTGGGGAATGGACTTGAAACAAGGACCTTTGTATACAGAAGGCACGATATCAGTTGGAACAAATCTTCATTTTGGTATCCAAACTTTTATTCATTTTGGTGTATTATTTGTAAATGGGCATTTGTATGTTATGAAAAAAAGAACAACGTAGACTGGATGGATGTTTGATCTGTGTTGGTCATGAAGTTGTTTAAAAAAAAAAAAGGAAACCATGATCAACAAGCTTTGCCACGAATTTAAGAGTTTTATCAAGATATATCAAATACTTCTACCCATCTGTTCATAGTTTATGGACTGATGTTCCAAGTTTGTATCATTCCTTTGCATATAATTAAACCTGGAACAACATGCACTAGATTTATGTAAGAATATCTGTTGGTTTTCCAAAGGTTGTTAACAGATGAAGTTTATGTGCAAAAAAGGGTAAGATATAAATTCAAGGAAGAAAAAAGTTGATAGCTAAAAGGTAGAGTGTGTCTTCGATAAAATCCAATTTGTTTTATGTCAAAATGTAAGTATTTGTCTTCCCTAGAAATCCTCAGAATGATTTCTATAATAAAGTTAATTTCATTTATATTTGACAAGAATACTCTATAGATGTTTTATACACATTTTCATGCAATCATACGTTTCTTTTTTGGCCAGCAAAAATTAATTGTTCTTAGATATAGTTGTATTACTGTTCACAGTCCAATCATTTTGTGCATCTAGAATTCATTCCTAATCAATTAAAAGTGCTTGCAAGAGTTTTAAACTTAAGTGTTTTGAAGTTGTTCACAACTACATATCAAAATTAACCATTGTTGATTGTAAGAACCATGCCAAAGCCTTTGTATTTCCTTTATTATACTATTTTCTTTTTAACCTTATAGTGTGGTGTTACAAATTTTGTTTCCATGTTAGATTATCATTCTAAACCAACGGTTCCTTTCATACATACACTAATTCTTAAAGAAATAATTCTTATCATTGCATTAATTCGAAATGTGTTAGGAAAAAAATTCCACTTAGAGCTCTGTGTAGATCTGTGCCCATCTGTACCCACAACGTACACATAAATGGTCACATTCCCCAGCTAGCCATTTAGTTCAAAAGCTCAAAGTCTAGAAATGATTTAAAAAATGCAACAGCTATTAACTAGGAATTGTCTTTGGAATTAGGGCTGGCATTTTCAATCTGGGCAGATTTCCATTGTCGGCCTATTTCAACAGCGATTTCACTGAAGTATATTCAAAAGTAGATTTCTTATACAGGACTCTCTGAAAGCTGTCGCCTTTCTCCAATAGGTCCTCTCCCTTTCCTCTCTCCCTCCCCTTTGCACAAGAGGCATCATTTCCCATTGAACCACTACAGCTGTTCCCATTTGAATCTCGCTTTCTGTGCGGTGGTGGATGGTTGGAGGGTGGAGGGGGGATGTTGCATGTCAAGGAATAATGAGCACAGACACATCAACAGACAACAACAAAGCGGACTGTGACTGGCCGATGGGAGCGAAAGGCCTTCAGTCATTGGCAGCTGAAGCCAAACATTCCCAAATCTATGAAGCAGGGCCTATTGTCGGTCAGTTGTTATTTGCAATGAAGCACAGATCTGATCATGTTTAAAGTGGCAGCACGCAGGGCAGGAGTGCTTGAGCCCCAGCGAAGGAGGGGGAAAAAAATAAGCCTTTGTTGGGTGAAAAAGGGCCCGTCTGAGACTTTTATTTCTGTCTGTTGTGTGCAACATATAAGTCAATATAGATAAGTTCTCTTCCGCCAAGTTCAGTCGGAGGCTGGGGCTGCTGGCCGACTCCATGAAATGCTTGCACAGGCAGAAAGCTCTGGGGACAAAGACACACTTCCATTGAATTGTACTCTGCTCTTTTGTTTTGTTTTGTTTTGAATCCCCAAAGGCAAATGGTCAGAAATATAGAAATTAATTGGAGGCTTCAAGAAAGAGCCTTCTAGTTCACCATCCACTCTTTTCTGGCGAAGGGCTTACTTGGGGACAGATAGCTGTGATTCATCTCTGTGGCATGCCAGGTATTAATCACTGTCCTGCACCAGAGTTGCTGCACGTTTAGAGACACCTTCCTCCGTTGACTGCGGTTTTTAGATGTGTGCGCATGTGGGTGGATTCAGTGTCAGCCTTCGCTGCACGCTTGCACGCTTCGGCAGTGCGCACACGGGCGCTCGGTCGGCGCACTTGCCCGTGCAGATACATCTACCTCCTGACATTTTGCAGCCTCGATTCCCCGAGGGACGTGTGCCCAGGGCACTGTCAGAGAAGGGCTGTGTGGTGCGTGCTGCAGCTGCTGGCTGGCTCACTTCTTCCCTGCAAGGAGGGACACTTTCCAACTGGCTCCGACGTGGGCCAGGGTCAGGCAGCCAGGCCTGGCCCACGGCTCCGTGGTGCAGAGAGCACAGACTTCGGAGCCCTGGGTGCGGCGCTCTGGGTGCTGGAGCCGGGGATGGGAGAAGGGGGGGTGGAGCGCTGTGGGCAGAGGGTCCGTGTGAGCGCATGCGCGCTTGGGCACGTATCCGTGTCCTCCGAGGGTCAGGGCTGCCAGGGCGCCGCGGCACAGCCTGGTTTCGTCTCAAGCAGCGGAGGCTCAGCTGCAGAAGCTCCCGGCTCCAGCAGGACAGAGCGGCTGCCTTGCCTTCTGCCCTCACCCCAGGGAGATGAGCCGTCCTTCCGAATGGCGCTCCAGGCGCTCCCCCGGGGCCAGCATGTGGAAGCAGGGCTCCGGAGGTGGCCTTTTACTCGTCGTTGAAATAGTTTATTTTTATTTACTGATAGGTATATTTATATAATTTATCCATGGGAACGCTGCAGGGATGCTCTGATGCCATCTTCCAGGATGGTGCCCGTCCACCTACCTGTGCTGTCCTCGGTAGAATCTCAAGGCTCACAGCCTATGATTTTTCTCTCAACTTGACGGACTTAGGGAGACCAGGGGAACAGAATTAGAGCTGAGTGTTTGAATAGGAAACATTCAAGTTACTTTGAGTAAAAACCGGCTTTTTACTACAATGAGTTTCCAGAATATTCCTCCCCCAAAGCTGGTAAACAACTGGCTTCTTGATGTGGCTCACAATCATTTCTGTCTACCCTTCCCCCCCACCCCGCCCCCATCAGAACTAGGTTTCCTCAAATTCACTTACACAGTAGTAAGATTTAGCTTTGTTTTGTGAATTTTTGCCATCTTGGCATGGTGTCTATATTCTCCTGCGTATTTCTTTTTGCACCGGGCCTTAATGTTAACAAGATTAAAAAAAATGCTTTTCTTCTCTCTATAATGTTTGGCTCACCAAGGCCAAGCACAAATGCTTCCCTTTTCTGTTTCTCAAGCAAAAACCTCCTCTGTAGCGTTTTTTGTTTGTTTTTATTTTTTGCCTGGTCCTGAAATGATTTCACTGCTCATTTTTAAAGTTCAAAGTGCAAGTGCTTAGGGTTAGTATTAAAGTTTGATGGTGTTGATGGTGACTATCTTTGGAAAGCATTAAGAGGATGTTTTAGAAATGACATTCATAATGGGCTCTAAACAAATGAATAGGGGTTTCCCCCCTTCCCTTTTGTATGTGTATGCGTGTGTCTGAGTCTTTAAAATTGAAAGACAGGGAATTGATTGCATGAAGAGTGTTGCTTCCTTTTGAAGTGGTTTTTTTTTTTTTTTTTTGGCTAGTGTTAGTATTTGCAGATCCTGGAGGTAGAGATAAAAAATAAATGGAAGAGGAGGAAGAGAAAAGTGGAAATCTCCGGGTGGCTATTAGAAAGAAATTCAGGTCTTAGAACCTCAGCACCTGAGAGCCGGGTGCGGTAGTCAAAATATTTACCTCATGTTAAAGAAAGGCAAATCTAGTGTTAAGAAATGAATACTAGATAGGGTTATGAAGTTTTAGAAACATTTAAAAGACATGAGGACATTTCAAATACTATGTTTGGCACTGTTACTTAAATATTTATATCTTTGAGACAAGTTGATGATTGAAAAGAAAAATCTGTTAATGGAGTTCATAATGTATCAAAATGGTCTGTATACCTACTGTAGCTTTACTGAAGACCAGTATTTTTGGGTAGTAAGTTATTAGCAAATGGATAATTGATAATGTTTCCAGAAGAAAGGAAAACACATTTTTAGAGTGGGTTTTTATCAGAGGAAAACAAAAATATATATCCCTCTGTAGCTTATTTTTGCAAAGCCTGCCTAGAGAATCAGAACAACAAAGCACTTGGATCTGCATTTTGGAAAGCTCAGCTACGATCATTGTTCAACATGCACTTTTACTGAGTTTGAAAAGTTTCTTTTGTATTTAAAATAACGGTTCAAATATGCACATTCAATTTTTATAGTATTTATCTATTTGCAAAGCATATATTAACTAGTAATTGGGTGTTAATTTTATAGACATGGTAGCCAGGGTAGTAAATCAATGACCTATTAAGTATTTTTGACAAGCAATTTACATATCTGATGACCTCACATTTCCTTTTCAGAGTCCAATGCTATATAATTGTTCCATTGTGTGTTTGTATAAAATGAATCACGACATGGTAAGAAAAAGGTTAGAGTTATTAAAATAATAACCCAACTAAAATATTCATTTGAATTTATTCAAATTGTTCATAATGCTTTCAAAGGACATAGCAAAGCTTTTGTGGAGTATCTGCACATTATTTATTATCTATGGACTAAATTGATTTTTTTAAGTTGCTTTACATTTTAAAAGCACCTTTGCTTAATATAAAAGCCCTTTAATTTTAACTGACAGATCAATTCTGAAACTTTCATTTGAAAAGAAAATGGGGAAGAATTTGTGTCTCTCGAATTAAAAGAAGTGAAAAAAAATAAACCAGACATTCTAAAAAAATAGAAGAAACCTGATTTTTAGTACTAATAAAATAGCGGGTGACAAAATAGTTGTCTTTTTGATTTCGATCACAAAAAATAAACTGGTAGTGACAGGATATGATGGAGAGATTTGACATCCTGGCGAATCACTGTCATTGATTCAATTATTCTAATTCTGAATAAAACCTGTATACAGTGTGTGTTTATGCTACAGTGGGTTTTTTTTTTTTAACTGACTGACATTCATCATGTTGGTTAGACAGTTTTAAAAACCTAGTCTTTGTTTTCTACAATGTTGTCAAGAACAAATAAAGTATAATTTGTGGTGTATTACAAGCAAACTGCTTAAAAATGCTAGTTATAACTGCTTCAAAATTTATTCTAACATCACTGAAGAATTTTAGAAATTCAGTTTCTCCTAATGGACGTCAAGCAGCTTTTTAAAAATTGAGATTCTTTACTTAAATGCAAGTTACTTCCTAACCTTCACTTTTTGTCTATTTGTCAAAAGCTTTGAGAATATGGAACTGTGATTCAAAAACCTAGTGTTTTATATGAAAACTGGTTCGATGTGCTATCTACCCCCCAAATACATGTCTATATGGTTATAAATGTGCATACCCAGCCAACGTTCTTGATTCACAAAGGGCTTACCTGATGCAATGGAAATCGGAGTTAGTTTCAGTTTGCTACTTTGTCTCAGACCTATGTTCTGTAAAAATCTCTCACCAAGCTTCAATACATGCTTTCCCCTAGTGTTAATGTAGCTGTCAGTTTGAATTTCAATCCTGAATTATGTCTGCTGACGTAATTTCATAGTGCTGACTTCAATTGTTTAGGATTACAAAACAGAAGACCATCAGCTTCTTTTTCTATGCTTTCTGTCACTCAAGTTCTTTAGATTTATTAACTAGTATGGTAGACTACTGATCTTTAATGGAACCTTAATCCCAAAATGTTATTTTGTGTTCATCAATTTGTTAACAGGATGCATAAATGCAAATTCCTTTTATTACAGTCTTCACATACATTA